CCCATTTTACTATTTCCCTGTTGGCCAAAGTCCCAATGAACAAAAAAATTAAATACAGCTGGTTTTGGCATTTACTTAGCCATATTTAGTTACTTTAACACTATTGTTTTATGTTATCAGTGTAGGACATAAAACAATTGTGTTAAAGTAACTAAATATGATTTAGTGGAAGCCAAAAAAAGGTTGCTTTTTATTTTGTTCTACCGTTTGAACTTCAAGGTGTTAGTAATTTATCAGTATTTATCAGGTGCTCGGGTCATTTTTAATGTTTCCTCCATGTTTGCTGTTTAGTCTGCTTAAAGGACTTCATTATAATCTTAATACTCATCATGTGGCTCCTCAGTGCCATTCTACATTTTGGTCCGAAACAACAGATTATCATGCCTAATAATAACAATTATGATACCTACGCTGATAATTATTCCTGTGTTTGTTGATGTTGTCTATGGTTTTTATAAGATTATAGTATTAATACAGACATTTTTAACCTATGGCACTAAGTGTCACTGCAAAAAAGCAAAGACATAAACCACCTCTTGCAGATGTAGGCGCTAACTAACTGATGCACTATGTCTATACCACTGTAGTCTTATTAGTCTTATTGTATTTTCCCTTTTCTTTCTCGACCTTTTACATCCATTACCTTGCTGTGCCACACTGTGCTTAGGACTGCAAAAGCCAATCCCATTTTTTTCTGACATATCTGCTTTTATGTATGACAAACCCAAAATATCTCCAGGCCATACTCGGCAGGTATTTTATTTATATGCCGTAAAAATTTAAATGTAGCAGATGTTGTGGAGTAAAATAATCTTTAAAAGGTGGCACTCTTGATAATTTCCATATATGAGAAGTAGATACTGTATTTTGTTGTGTTAGATAACCAGAATAATTTCTAAAATGAAAGTCGAACTGCATTTTTTAATACAGGCATCGACGTGTTAAATGAGTTCTGAATGTTAGTGAACATTCGGTTACATTCACCACCTGTAATTAGCTTGTGAATGTTCCTGAGGGTATTAGAACATATTTAAAGCATTCATGTTGTGATTGACATGCCGCACAAGGAAGAACAGAGAAATGTACCTGTATGTAAAACCCGAGTGTCTCCTCTCTATTTTTGCTTTTGAAACCAGCCTGTNCAAATGGAATTGGGTAGTGGGATATTAAGGCTCAGGAATCGGGATAATTTAGTGGATATTTCCTTCCAGACGTTTTGTATTGGTTGAAAAGCCAGAGCACATTGAAGTGGTTATCAGTGGTGTAGAGTGTGCAAATATAATGTTCAGTCGGTTACAACTAGGTTTTGAGTGTGGTTTGTTCTGTTTATTCACCTTATGGTCATAAAAAAATACATTATTTCCAACTTTTCTCCAAGATATATTATCAAGAGTTACTTTTTAAGAGTTTAATTTTAAGGGAATTAGGCTTCATTTTGGTTTGAATTATGCAGTCAATATTTTATAACTGTTCTCAATAAAATAATGCATTTCACATATTATTAAGGCCTAATTTGCATACACACAGAAAATAAATAGATAAGAATTAAAAATATATGAGATCTAGTTTTAAAAGGTAATTGTGCTAAAAGAAGATTTTGACTTTTGACCCATTTGCAAAAAAACAACTTATAACAGCTCAGTGAAAAGAGAACTAAGATTAGAGAGAGATATACGAGGTTGCATGTGTCTAACTTGTCTTCTATGGTTGTGTTTATGTCTTTGCTTTGGCTGAGTTGCGGTCCAATTGC